CTTTTCAGCCCTTTATAGTGGGATTTTGTGTGTCTGGGGTGTTTTGCACACCCTCTGTCAAATAATGCACCATGCCATGTATACATTCCTAATCTTCTTTTTAAAAAAGGAGCATATATAAGAGTGTCACAAGAACTAAGAGATTCACGATAAAATGCTGTACCGACCGCTGGTCCTAGCCCACCGCTGTGCCACTCTGTGGCTTCAGGGGCCCTGGCAGTATCAAGGGTACCAGGCAGGCGCTTGGGCCACTGAGCTATATCCCAGCCCTAGTATCAAGGGTACTAAGAGGCCCAGGAGAGATCAAGCCCAACTTCAGTTCCAGATAGAGAAACTGAGGCCTGAGAAAGAAGATCCAACCTAGGTTCCATTAACAAAGCAGAGAAAAGCAAAGGACTAGAGTCTGAACACAGCGGCTCCTTCCACAGAGAGGTAGAAGAGTACGGGGAACCCTGAGACCCATAATGATGCTGAGAGCCCTGCAGCCCAGACCCGCTCCTCCTACTAATCACCCATCTTCTCTGACCTACTCCCAGCCTCCCTCACGGCTCCCCCTCTTCTGCCCATCTACCACATGCGGGTTCCCTCTACTGGCTTTCCTCCTGTGACCACACTCATTCCCATGACTTGAGCAACCACCTCCACACAGAGGGCCCCCAGCCCCACTTTCACCTGGGCACTAACCATCACCTCCTACTGCCTGAGTGGATGACTCCTCCTGAACTACACTGGACATCCACCTCCACAAGGTTAAACTTACCATCATATTTTTGACCCCTCCTCAATCCCAAACCTATTATAAATCTGTTATTCCCAATCTCTGTTACAGGTACTTCTATCCTTCTGGACATCCTCAACCCACAGCACTCTCCCCAGTGCTTCCCAAGACTGGTCTAGAGAAAAGACCTTTATAGCAATCTACCTGGACTACTTCCATGACCTCTACCAGATCTGCCTTTAGCCACACAATTTTCCTGAAAAACAAGTCTGATAAATTTTTAAAGCTAATCATAAAGATAACTAAAAAGAAGTATTAGAGACTGTTAAAAATGTTTTACAAAAGCCCTTCTTACATATGAGATATGAAATTACAAACCATAAAAGCAAGTAGAGATTTAACTGTATTCGTTGTATTTTATATTATTTTGGTGCTGGGGACTGAACCCAGGACCCCTGCACATGCTAAGCTGATGGTCTATCACTAGACTACATTCCCAGCCCCAAATGCATTCATTTAAAGTGTATCAAGTGAAAAGAAAACCAACCACAGGTAAAGAGACAACTGACCCTTCAAAAAACTCCCGACCATGTCTGATGAGCAGCAGATTACTATCTAGAAAAGGTTGGGCAAACTATGCTCACAGGCCCCATCCAGACAGCTGCCTATTTTTCTAAATAAAGTTTTACTGGACCACATACCCGTTAGTTTATATATTGTCTACAGCTCATTTTGCACAGTGATGGCCAAGTTTCACGGTTGCCACACAGAAACTACATGGCACATAAAGGCCAAAATATTTGCTATCTCACTTTTATAGAAAGGCCCCTGACCCAAAACATACAGAAAGCCCCTAGAAATCAGGGGCGGGGGGCAGGGAGACAATGTTAACCCAACAGAAAAACAGCCAAACGACACAAACATGTAATACTACACCAAAACTAAAACAAAACAAAACAAACCCCTCAACAGATATGGCAGAGGCTTAACCTCACTGGTAATTATTAAAGAATTAAATCATTTCATAATATCCAGACCTGGAAAAGTTATGACACAGCCTTTTTTGGAAGGCAATTTGGTAGTATCTCTCAAAAAAATGTGGTGCACTTGATGTCAACCCAGCCACTCTATTTTTAGGTATCTGCTCCAGAGAAATACTTGCATTCGTGCTCACAAGCACACACCCAAAAGCATTTATACAGCCGTCTGCCTGAAGCATTCACTATTTATAACAGCAGAACTCATCAGTAACCTCCATGTCCATCAGTAAGAGACAGGTTATGCTAGCACTGCATCCCTAATAGTCCAACACGCAAAACGAGCGACTAGTGTACCTACATGGAACGTCATGAAAAGAACACTAAAATACTCTTAAGCAGGAGGTAAAAATCACTGCAGTGCAAATACATGCACACAGTTCAGGTCTTAAACGGTTTAAATGCATACATGACTTTATATGTACACAGAGAAGTACACAGGAGGACTGAAAGAAAACGGGAGTCTGTGAACAAGGGATCTGGAACTGCACGATGGGATGACCTACTGTAACACTGGCCTACAGCTCACCACTTAGCCCAAATCACTGTGAGTTCCAGTGCTGAGGAGAAGGCAAGGAACTCTTCCGCCCGAGAACAGCATTCCTGAGCACCTTCTACACATAACCATCTTTGACACTGCTCTCCTCATAATGCGCCCCTGGGGTGTCCTCCAGACCCCGAAAAGAGAAAGAAACATGGTTTACGAGTCCTGGCTATCCCTGCACTGAAAAAGTCGCTTCACTTCTCCAGGTTTCAGTCTTTTCAACGGTGAAAGGAAGTGGTTAGATTAGCTGATCTCCAAGTCCCTTCCAGATCTGATGCCACAATACAAAGTAGGCCCTGGAAAAAGTTACTGTACCTCTCTTGGAGAAAAACAAACAAATAAAACCCACAGCTGAAGAAATAAAGCCCAAATCAGAATGCTGGGAGGAATGTCAGCTCCTGGGAAGACAACATCCCAGGAGCAAAGCCACAAAGCTGTACCGCCCTCTGGGTTGGACGTCTGCGCCTATCGAAGAGGAGGGGTGGCCTTGGTGATCACTGATGTATCTTCCAGCTTGGACGGTCCACGGACAGTCTAAAATAAGCTCAGGGTGGGGAGGGACAGCAGGAAGCAGGGGCTTGGGGGAGACTGATGGGAACCAATTGGCTGAGGTTCTCTAATGGAGACAGAGGGTGACAGCAAGAGGGTGGGGGAGGGCCGGATGCAGACAGCAGCAGCAGGGCTGCTGGCAACCGCCCTGCATCTCCCTCCACTCTTTTCAAGAGCAGTTTCTTCCTGAAAGATCCCAGGAGGTAGAAGGCTAGGCTAATCTCTCCCAGCACAAATAACCCTGCTCATTATTTCAAAAACTACCATTCCAGTTTTGCCCTGGAGGTCTCAGGCCTGTTTCAAAACCCACAATTCAACTCTGAATACAGCGAAAGACTACAGTATTTTATATTTGCCTCTTTCCCTAAATCCAATTAATAACCAACAGATTTCTTTTAAAAACCAGTTCCGGTTCAAACATGCAGATTCCACTACAGTTTATCTGAGCTTAAAAATCAGAAAACCCACCCCTCAGTGGCATAAATACCTAATTTATCAATTCCGGCAGTTACTTAGAAGAACCAGGAAACTTACAAAACTCTCTTGAAACAGCCCTTTGCCAAGCCCAGAAACTTCTCACATCAAAGTTGACTGTTCTGTGGACTATTTTTTTGGACTTGTTAAACTGTAAGAGGAAAAACTTTAATACAATATAATTCTTTTGCTTTTCACAACAGCTCTATGGTGGAAATAAGCCTGGGATCATGATCACCAATTCACAGATAAGAAAATTAAAACATACAGAGGTTAAAAAAAAAAAAAAACCCAACTTGCTCAAGGTCATACCACTTAAAGTGACAGCCACGACTAGAAGGAAACCCAGCTCCTCCTCAACACATACACTGTTTCCCAGGAAAAACGCATCCAGATGAGAAAAGAGATTTGAGTTTTCCTTTCTTAAAAGCTCACCAGCTACCCTCAAGAACACCTTGTGAGTTTCGTCCTTCTTAACCTGACCTGGCCAGAAGGCCTTTAGCGTCCTCACCATCTGTGGCTTTGGAGACTTGAGAGTTTGATAAAGCTTCTTGATCTTTTCCTGTCTGCTGGAAAAGCTGACCTCAGAGAAAGGCACCATGTCCTAGGCCATAACCCCTGCCCTGCCAGCCCACTCCGGTCTGCCCTGTAAACACGTCAAACCCCACTTGCACTTAAAGTGGCATTAAAAACAGCCAGGCCAGGGCACTTCTAAACAGTGTTTCTGTCTAAGGGGCTTTTTGTTTCGTGTGGTTAGGGAGGAGGTGGGGGGGTGTTTTGTTTTTTGGGTGGCTGTTCTGTTTTGTTTTGCAAAAGGAGCGCTACAACTAGGTCACACTGAACTGGAATGTAAAGGGAGCTTCCCTGGCCTCATGCAGGGATTGTGAGAAAGCTCTGATGAGAACTGGGGCACCGGGGACAGCCCGAGGACCCTCAGGGTCCTCAACACCAGGAGCTCCGAGAGCAACCAGACGGAGGGGGGCTTCCGATGACAGTGAGGGCAGCAGTCAAACCTTGGGGACCTTTCCCACCACAAATCCCCCTCTCCTAAATCTCTCCAGGGTGGGGGCCCGGGACTGTGTTTTTGACGTCTGTGACTCTCAGGCAGGTTCGGGAGCCACTGAACTAGTCCGAAGCCCTCAGTGTCCGTAAGACCTGGAGGAACGACCACCTTCCCCAGGACTCCTCACCTCCAGGGCCTCCACAGAACCAGGAGGGCCCGCGCAGGGGCGGCGCCCCGCCTGTCCCCGCTGCGAAAGCCTCAGGCGGCCCCTCACGAGCGCGTTCTCCCAGACCTGGAGACCCTCCAGCGCGGTCCAGTGCGCGATGGTGCCAACGGCGAGACCCCACGACGGCAGCCCGCGGTCCCCGCACCCGCACAGCCGTGGGCACGCGGGCGCAGCGCCCGACCCGGCCCCAGGGCGGCCCGAGGGGTCCTGCCCCGCCGTGGGAACCGCGGGCGCTTTGTTCCTAGCGAGAAACTAGGCATTTTTGAGTCACCGAGAGGCATGAATCACGGCAGCGGCCGAGGGCGCCGAGGACGTTGTTTTTCGCGTACTCGGGGCGCTGCCTTTGTCCCGGCTCTGTCAAGCTCGGGCCGCCGCCGCCGCCCCGGGCCCCGCACCGGCGCATCTCCCCCGCTCCGCGCTCGCCCTCCCGGCCCCGCGGGCGCGCTCACCTGAGTCAGGTCCTCGTCGTTGAGCAGATGCGACTCGCGCGGCTTGAAGCAGTTCTGACACTTGCTCTTGTTGAAGATGTTGGCCTGGAATTTCCTGCACGGGTTCTCCTTGGCCGCCGAC